GGATGGCGGAAGGCGGGAGAAAGGCCGAAGGTGGGATGGTGGGAAGCGGCGGAAGAAGTCGGGAGGGGAGAGAGAGAGAGAGAGAGAGAGCAAAATCAAATGAATTACCACTAGAACATGGAAATATACATTGCGCACATGCGCACAGCACACCAGACGTGCGCAGTGCACCGCGCACTGCACACCCAGATGCGCGGCGCGCCCCAGTGCGCGCGCACCCTCGGTCCGCGCACAGCGCACAGTGCAGGTGTGCCGCAAGTATGGTATTACCAGAAGAGAGAAAAGAGAAAAGGAATGGGGGGGAATATAGGTTGGAATTTTACTCCCAGAGCAAAACAAAAACTGAAAACAAATCAAATTCTACGAATGAGCTTGGAAACCAAGATCTCTCTGGGTTGCCACACAGGAAAAAAAAAAAACAAAAAAAAACAGAATTTGTCCGAGGAGTCGTTGCCCGATAGGTTAAATGATGATGATGATGCGTCTCTTCAGTGCTAGTCCTAGAATAAGCCATGGAGGATACGAGAATCCATGCTGAAAATGAACCAAAGATTAGAAGCAAACTAATTTCCTGTTATGAGTCTAGTTAACAGACTGTTCCAAGGGGAATGCTTGAACTAGGGACCCCTTTTACAAGGGGAATCCTTTGATAGGGACCTCTTTCACAGGCATACTACCTACTAATTCTCTGTAACCCAACTAGTTGCAAGACGATCACAGGGCCTCGATGGTCTGCAATAGGACGGAACAATCTACAAGTCTCATGTGCAGCTATTGCGAACAGAGGAAAAAGAGATAAGCATGAGCCCATGAATACTACGGTCCTATTGGAATGCAATCATTTAGGCCTCTTTCCCGATAACCTTTTGTGGATGGTAATCTGAGGTCTAGGGCCTCCTAAAGACATGAGCAAAGATGACCATGACGAAGTAGAAGAAGAAGAAGCGGGGGGAGGAGGAGGAGGACGATTTAGAAGAGGAAGAAGAGGAAGAAGAGGGAAGAATGAAGAAAGCAAACAATCTTCGCTGAGGGTTTGACGGCAAAAAAAAAACGAATGTATACACCGTCCCAAATAACCACCTACAGAACCACTTATGGATATCAAGAATAAGTGCCAGAAACATGGGGTTTTGACAGAGTGCATTGAACTTTCACCGCCTCATGAGGAGGCTGAAGCAAGAATGTAGATGACGGCACAACGATACACAAACATACGGTGAACCAGTGGTGGCAAAAGGGGGAGGCTGTGACAGACTGTTTCATCAGACTCGTGGCAACTCGTCAAGGGGCCGAACTTTTGACACTCAGCAGAGTACCCTACTGATTCTTCAGGCCATAATCCGTCTTGACCGAAAATGAAAGCAGATTATCAGCAGACTCGTGGCAAAAAGGGGAGGCTGTGACAGACTGTTTCGTCAGACTCGTGGCAACTCGTCAAGGGGCCGAACTTTTGACACTCAGCAGAGTACCCTACTGATTCTTCAGGCCATAATCCGTCTTGACCGAAAACGAAAGCAGATTATCACCCATCCACACCAGATGCAGTATGCCACACAATCTTGTGCACACCGCTTGCACAGGATGAAATCAGGACACCGAGAAACTGACAAAACCAGGTTCTGGTGTTTGGACAGGTGCGGTGCCAAGTTCGCAATAGCCATGAGAAGATAAGCTCAGAGGAAAAAGATAGGGTAATTTATACACAGAGAAGACGTAAACGAAGGTGAAACACAAAAAAAGTCTCTATCTGGCAGATGAATGGCACAGATCCCCTGGATTAGCAGTGTGAATTCTGAGCAAAGTTAGCAAATCCATTTAGGGGATAAACCCTTGACGGCTTCACCCCTTGAAAGAAAGCGGAAAAACATATACTAGCAGAGGAGAATCTATTAACCGAAAGGAAGTGCCGGAAAAAGAGACAATTAAGTGGACAGCAATCAATGGAGTCCAAGCAGGCAAAACAGCTCCAGCACCACTTCATTTCATCAGCTGTTCCTGCTGGTGCTGTCTGCCAGGCTCCTACCACTGGCAGACCCGAACTTTCAATGTTTTGGCTGACACTTCCACCAGACATGCCTGTGCCTTTCAGTACCTTCATTTAACATTTTATTCGTTGAATAAGGGCACAGATTGTAACTGTGGTCAGGCAGTGCACCAACCAGAGCTAGGTTCTGAATGCTTGCCCACAACCTTGAAAACTATGCTGTGTGCAAGAGTTGATGCGTTACTGTGTGGTCTGAGACTTTTCCATGTCCCATAACTGCTACTACCAATCTACCAGTCCAGCTGTCACTGTATATGTATTACGCTTACCAGTTTGAAAACAACTCTGTGTACATATGATGCTCCGTCAGTTTGTCCGTCCGCTGGAGGCCTCAACAGGATTTACTGGACATGCAGACCTCACGTAAACGTAAAATGTCCACTGATCTTGTCCGTTTGCCCTCGACCGTTGATGGAATGGAAGCAGTAGTAGGCCAGTCAGTGTTGTGACACAGAGTGTGGAACTCACCAAGTTGCATTCTGGTATATAGACCTTAAGAGTGTGATCCAGTTCACACCACTCCAAGTACTCACAAACCAAGTCCGCCAAGAGTTTGCCTGCCATAAAACCAGCAAGGCCGTCACAAGCAGGCAAGCAATCGCGACACTCAGTATGAGCAACAGATCCAAGCTGCAAGAATTGGTCCCCAAACATGCGACATCATCAACTCCTGAAGCCATACCACAGGCAAACTGAAGCCCTAGCAGGAATTCTGTGGCACACAGAGGCTCAAGCTTGATGTCATGCACAACTGAGATATGCCCGTAAGCCGCAAAGAAATGCACACTGGCATGTCATAATTATTTTCAGGACCAAGCAGGCCAATCAAACAAGAACACATGTTGCACATGCAAAGACGTTGTCCAACAGAGGTGTTGTACCATTTTTCTCGGAACCATATTATATCTATCCATGTGGGTGGATCCCTTTCTTAGGGAAAATTTGCCACGAAATGTGTTTATTTGTGTAGCACCCCTGGGACCACAGACTTTTATGCCATGCCCCTGGAGCTTGAAATCTTTTCACCAGGCTCTGTCATAAGTGCCCTCCCCAGACACGTAGTCCCATCGGATTGGTCCCTTTGCAAAATGCCATCATCCTAGGCGGACATCTTTTTGTCATGCCTGCCCAGCATTGAAGCGGCTGGAATCCAAATTCTGAGGTCGTTGTTCTTGAGCTGCCTCCTAGCAGTTGTGTGCTGCAACACTCTTGTCTCCCTCCTCGGCCTCCTCCTCCCTCCCTCCTGTTGGTCCTTACGGCTAAACGGGCCATTTGGGAATGAATCTGGCCATGACTCTCCGCTGGATTCAGTGCAGAATCGTGGCCAGACTTATTGGAAAATCTCTCTCTCTCTCTCTCTCTCTCTCTCTCTCTCTCTCTCTCTCTCTCTCTCTCTCTCTCTCTCTCTCTCTCTCT